CTGAAACGCATTCAATCTTAGCTCCACAAGGCCGTCTGGAAACAGCGAGGAACCAGCCCCTGCCACATCGGCCCCGCCCCCTGGGTGCATGCTGGGGAGGTGTCACCCTTTGTGAGGAATGAAGAAATGGATCATGCCTTGGCACTTGCCCTGGTCCCACCCCCTTCTGCCAGAGACCCTCAGATCTGTCCCACTCCTGCCCAGGCCCCCACAGGCATCCTTGACGCAAACGATGTAGAGCTGGCCATGCCCACCCAGTAGGCCACACCCACCCCATCCACGCCCACCCAGTAGGCCGCACCCACCCTGGTCACACCCACCTGGCCCCCTGAGGGCAACCGCAATGCTGAAGCAGCCCTCAATGAAATTGAGTTTGACACCCCTGTTGTAAGGGAACCTCATTCCGGTGTAATTGCCACAATTTCCAGCAATATTGGAAACTACAGAGTACTGGATTTCAGAAGACCATATTATGGGATGACTTGACTTTCTCTGAATAGAAACCTCTCTGCTTGTTGCAAACCGTGTCCACTCCATACAGCATCTACGCAGTTTAATTATAATAATTTGCAGGCTGGCTACTTTAGAATGAGCAAGAGGAAGTGATTCATCACTAAGTGCTTGGTTAAACTGTAGAGCTCAGTGTGAAACAATTTAAGTTGATAGACACAAATGAACAGGAGTGTTCAGAAGCAATCTATCCCTAACCATCAAATTCTTGGTTACTTAATGCACAGCACAGGTAGAAACAGAAGAAATTGTGATGATATCTAGAAAACCTCACATTCTGTTTCTTATCCTCTCTCTCTCTCTCTCTCCCTCTCCCTCTTTCTTTCTCTTTCTCTCTCTCCCCATTTGCCATTTCCTTCTTTCTTTTGGATTCCTTATTCCTATTCCATTTCCTATTCCATTTAGATTCCATTTCCTATTCCTTTTAGATTCCTTATTCCTATTCCATTTCCTATTCCTTTTAGATTCCTTATTCCTATTCCATTTCCTATTCCTTTTATATTCCCTATTCTGGGGGGTGTCAAACTCAATTTCATTGAGGGCCGCATCAGCATTGCGGTTACCCTCGGGGGGGGGTGGCCAGCCTACTGGGTGGGCGTGGATGGAGTGGGTGTGGCCTACTGGATGGGCATGGCCAGCTCTACATCGTTCGCGTCAAGGGTGCCTGTGGGGGCCTGGGCAGGAGTGGGACAGATCTGAGGGTCTCTGGCAGAAGGGGGTGGGACTGGGGCAAGAGCCAAGGCATGGTCCATTTCTTCATTCCTCACAAAGGCTGACACCTCCCCAGCATGCACCCAGGGGGCGGGGCCGACGCGGCAGGGGCTGGTTCCTCGCTGTTTCTAGATGGCTTTGTGGAGCTAAGACTGAATGTGTTTCAGCATAGATGGCCACCACAGAATTGTACATTGGCTCCTGGCTGGCCTGGGCCAGGGCCAAGGCAGTGGGGGGGAGGGGCGTTCCCTCACTGTTTCCAGGATGGCTTCACGGGCCACATGAAACCACTTCGTGGGCCGCATCCAGCCCCGGGCCTTGTGTTTGACATGTCTGCCCTATTCCTATTCCATTTCCTATTCCTTTTAGATTCCTTATTCCTGATGCTACTAGTGATCAATATTGATTCTGGCTTTGAAAGAAATATGGCAACATTAAGCTGGTAGCAAATGTATTACCAAAATTGGACCAAGGCATTTGCAGGTAGTCCTCAATTTACAACCACAACTGGGACCAGAATTTCCATTGCTAAGCAGGGCGGTTATTAAATGAGTTGAGCCAGATTTTTTTTTTTTTTAGCCATGATTGTTAAGCAAATTCCTACAATTGTTAAGTGAATAATACAGAGAATCCAGCTTCCGCCATCAACTTTGCTTGTTGGAAGCTGGCTGGGAAGTTTGCAAATTGTGCTCACTTAATCCCTGATTGTTGCAACCACCATAAATACATGCCAGTTGTCAAGCACCCAAATTTTGATCACTTGACAATGGAATGCTGCAAGTATTGTTAGTGCAAGGACCGATCAATCGTAAGTCACTTTTTCAGAGGCATTGTAACTTCAAATGGTCACTAAATAAATGGTTGTAAGTTGAGGACTGCCTATACCAGGGGTAGGCAACCTTGACTCTTTTATGACTTGTGGACTTCAACTCCCAGAATTCCTGAGCCAGCCGTGCTGAGGGGAAAGGGAGAGGTTTCCAAGCTGAGCCATGCTGGCTCAGGAATTCTGGGAGTTGAAGTCCACGAGTCACAAAAGAGCCAAGGTTGCCTACCCCTGGCCTATACCAACGACTGTACCTGTACCACAAGACACCAAACCAGCTCGGATTAGAATTCAGTGTTTTTCAAACTTGGCAACTTTACAACGTGTAGAATTCCCCAGTTGGCACTGAAAAGTTGAAGTCCACACATATTAAAGTTGCCAAATTTAAAAAGCACTGGTTTAATGCAATCAATAAAGACAACTAACGTTTTTTTTTTTAATTATCTATCATTACCAAATATTGCTGTTGAAACAGAATGCCACTAGATGGAGTCTTGCCTTCAGTTTTCGGAGAACTCTTGTTTACAACCTCAACTTAGCAACTGTAGAGCTTCACAGTCCTGATTTCTGAATGCTATAATTGGAGGCCTGGCCTTTTAAATTATCTAGTAAATACCCTGGAGGGGGGATGCTAAAAGGTCAGCTTTACTTCTGGCAACTTCTGAGCCAAGCAAGGATTTCATGGAATTATAAGAGGTGGGCATGGAAAGAAATTTTTCATTATTAAATTATCATATATATTTTTTCTAGCAGAAACACCTGAGAGATCAGCAAAACGTGTGTGTGTGTGTGTGTGTGTGTGTGTGTGTGTTCTCTCCATTTCATGGGAATTGGGAAGGACTTCTTTTCTCATCCAACTTTTCTTCTACTAAATTCAGAATTCTCCTCATAAGGAAAATATTATAAGCCAATTAGGACCCTCTGAATCAGTGTAAAAATTGCCCATGATCAATGAACATTTTTAGACCATTTTTAAAGAATCTTATGTGTTGTTAATTTGTTAGAGTGATTATGAGGTGATAGGAGAATAACATGTATACTCTCTCCTCTTTAAAAAAAAGATTTTATGTGAAATGTTCCCACTTTATTTCTGAAGAAGATATACATGTTGCCTGATTCACAAAATAAGAAAAGTTATAAAGTGGTTTGCTTGTTTGGAGCTTAGTATGTTGTGCAATCCATTAATGGCAGTTGGTGAGACAAACCATGACTTAGTATGTTATATAAATACAGCTATTACGAAACTGTTCAGACTAGACTTGACAAATCTGGGCTGCAAAAATAGAGAGGATCACTAGATGGCAGCAAAGATTCACACAGTTCTCTGCTGCCATTCAGCAATTGTTCAGTTGTAAAATGTATAACATCTGGCTCCTTTTTTTTCTGTTTTAGTGTAAGGAAACAGTAGCCCCATCTCAACTGCAGGAAATATCTTTCCATACAACCCTACTCACTCTATGCAACTACAGTGTTTTTCTAAATCTTTATTGCACTCATCACAATTTGTTTGCAGTTCCCCCACTGTTAAAATATTAATTGTATATTGTTTCTCTGTCTTTGTAAAATACGAGAAAGGGGGTTAAGAGGAAAATACTACATCAACCAAGAGCAAACACACATATTTTACCTCTCTCTTGCTCACGGGTGTCAAACTCGCCACGTCACGTGATGTGTCGTGACTTTTTTTGCATTGCTGGAGCTGGGGTTTGCGTGACCTTCATTTGATGCAACCGGCCCGTGGGCCAGCAGTTTGACACCCTTGCTCTAGCTGATTAACAGAAAAGCCTTGCCCAGTTAGAATTTGATTATCTTGGAGGAATCCATGTTCAGACAGCCTTTTCAATGGTAGAGAATTAGGACTTCAGGCTGGATATCTTTCTATTAAAATGTATATAAGGCTGCTTTTCTCTTAATACCTCCTCACCAAGGTGGATTTCTATAGCCTTGTCTAATTGATTCATTGGACAGTTAGCAATAAAATTTTGTCTCCATGTATGCATTTCTTGAACTATATACAGTGTATCTCAGTACTCATTGTTAATTGGTTCTGGGAGGCACAATGAGTATCAAAAACGATGAGTACCAGACAAATTTTTCCCATAAAGAATAATATAGTGAGTCACAAGGCAGCCGACACTGACAAGTTCTAGCCTGTGCATTGAATATCAAACAATGAGTGCCAGGATAAAATTTTTGTGTCAAAATGTGTTGAGTACCAAATTCAATGAGTTTCAAAGCAGTTGAGTACCAAGGTACCACTGTATATGGGTTAGATCTATTTGTTGTTCAGTCGCTAAGTCATATCCGCAACCCCTACACAACAGTATGCCAGGATCAATAGTATATCAGACAGTGTCCCTCCACTGCTCCCTGAGTTTGCTCAAATTCATGTTCATTGCATCAATGACACTATCTAACCATCTCATCCTCTGCCGTCTCCTTTTGCTTTCAATCTTTCCTGACATCAGGGTCTTTTCCAATTAGTAGATCTTAGACAACTCTTAATCCATGTCGTAATGTTGGAATAAGGACATAATCTGATTTAATTCTCAGTCTGTTGTCTACGGATTATCAGTATGCTTACAGATAACAAGCATTTATGCTTTCTGCATCCCCTAGATCAGTGATGGTGAACCTATGACACGCGTGCCAGAGGCAGCACTCGGACCCATCTCTATGGGCACGGATACCGTCGCCCCAGCCCCGCCTTCCCCCGCAGCCCCCTCACCAGCAGCCCCCCCTGAGGAGAGTCCCACATGGAGCAGCACAGCCAAGGACATGGCAACTGGGCAGCAGGGACAAGACTCCGCCCTCACGTCTCATTGTATACTGATGCTGCTGCAAGGCATGGGTGGAGGACGTGGTCGCCATGGTGCTGCAGGGCCACCTGGGCGATCTGCGGCGGGCCATGGAGGTGGTGGGTGGCCCTGTGGGTGAGGCGGGGCATGGAGCAGGAATGGGGGGAGCATGGTGGTGGTTTGGGGGCACTCAGTCTCTAAAAGGTTCGCCATCACTGCCCTAGATTTTATTTATTTTATTTATTAAATGTATATGCCATCCATCTCACTGCTGGAGCGACTCTGGGTGGCTGATGCTTTATTTTGGAAATGGCCACAGATCTATGGCAGTAATATTGTGAGTTGGCCAGACTTTCTCCATGGATGTCTGAGAAATATTTTGCTTAGGACAGGACATTCCCAAAACTTTCAGCAACCTTCCTGTCCTCTAAAGTTAAGATTCTCTGACTATGTACCAAAGTGATAAAGTACAGATTTATGGGGAAGAAAATATAGCCTTAGCCTGCTCCATATACTTGTATTCAGCCAGAAATGCTAATGATGTTTTGTAATACTCTTTATTACATCAGTAGCAAATGTGTGAGAAAGAGACAAATGGATATATACCTGGGGACAATCATTAAGGGGTAAGCAAACAGCAATTCCCAGTGGGCTCATATCCATTGGATTTCCTAAAGGGGAAACAAGAATTACTAATGTTTTTCTTGGAGATTTAGGAAGGCAGCAGTCGCATTATGAAAATATAAGTAACAATTGTTGTCTGTACCAACTGGCAAGTAAGTGGGAGAAAACAAAGTTATTTTTAAAAATCAAAGAATTATCAGCAAGATTAATAGGATTATTACAAAAAGAATAAAAGATGTAGCAGGGAAGATTTATGCAGGCAGTGAATGCCTTTGTAGCCTGGATTTATAACTGATATTAAGGCAACAATCCTAAACTTATTTTTCAGTGGTAAATCCACACGGACTGTCCAAAGCTGCTTCTTCAAAAGGCATCTGGACTTTCTTGGTTTTTCCTTGAAGATGTTTCGCTTCTCATTCAAGAAGCATCTTCAGTTCTTCAGAAGTTTCTTGGATGCTTCTGGATCTGGAACTGAAGATCCAGTTGCACCTTTGGGACAACCATGACCTGGATGACCGAGAATTTCCATAGATATCCACACTGACTGAATATGTTTATGGATAAACATATGCAGGACTTCTATGGGACGCTTATGAAATTGCTATCCCTTGGCTCACTGTTTATTAAAATCCAAATATTATCTTGTATTTTATAATCATTCCAGATCTGCTTCTTGGATGAGGGCATCTAGAACATGGTGCTAAAACCCAGGACTAAACATTTCATGTACTTTCCATGTCTAGGTAAAGACAACAACAGGATACCCAACTACTTGTGATTTGTGTGTGCAAAGAACCCATTTGTCTACAATGGAATATGACTTACACAGGAAGAAGAAAGTAGCATTTGTTCTGAAAGCCAGCCCTTATACAGTGTACGTATTTCCTCCCATGTTTTAGAAATATAAAATGGAGGTGGGGATTTTTTGCTTTACAATACCACTGCAACCATATAGCACCACCAGCTTCATGAAGGCAAGATGCACTTGTGAGAGAATACAGAATACAGAAAAATTATGAGCAACTCACTCCTAGCGGTGCATGCTGTGCTTCCTCTTTTATCACCTGGAAGACTCAAATCCACTGGCACATGAACATCTGCCCAACAACTTTAACATCGATTCCAAATGGAAAGCCAAATGAGTTGTTGAATGCCCAGACATAGGAAGACATATACATGACCCCACAAAAAGCTGCCAGCTTTGAACTATCACGTCAGCAATGGACAATCCTGAATAGGATTTGCACCCCACACAGCATATGCCGAGACGCTCTGTATAAATAGGGCATAGTATCTTCCCCTCCGTGTGACTGTGGGGTCCCATGTCAAACTGTAGATCACATTGTGACCGCTTGTAAGTTGAGTGCATATACCACTAGTCCAGTATCTGATTTTTTAAAATATAAACAATATTGTGCTTCAATGGTTTGATGGCCTAGACCAGGGGTAGGCAAGACGGCTCAGCTTGGAAACCTCTCCCTTTCCCCTCGGCACGGCTCGCTCACGAATCCTGGGCGTTGAAGTCCACGAGTCATAAAAGAGCCAAGGTTTCCTACCCCTGGCCTAGACATTGGTATTTGAACACAGATCTTTTTAACATTTATATTTTATTGTGATATACTAATCTAGATGAAATATTAATATATATATTGCTAGTCTGTGTATGACATGCAGTATGCTAAATAAATAATAAACCACTGCAGCTCAGGAGAAATGAATGAAGCTGGTACAGATTGGTGAGAGTTTGCCATGAGAAGCAAGGAAAGATATTGGGTGCTAGGAATCTGGGTTTGAAATTAGCCAAGAGAAAGATGATGATCATGGGATGAACCAATGAAGTTTCTTATTCTTGTCTCTCCCAAGTGATTACTTGCTTTTGTATCAAAAGACTCCATTTCTCCTTAGTTCTAGGTTGATTTTCTCCTTGATTAGTTTCCATCTGTTGCTTCTTGTCCTGCCTTCAGGTGCTTTGGAGAATAGCTTGACTCCCTCTTCTTTGGGGCAGCCCCTTAATGAAGCAATGAAGGCATGGAACCTTATCCATTAACTTTATTTCATGCCTAGTAACTGATACCCATTTGGTGGCCACCTACTCCAGTTTTCTGCGTATTTCTTGGGTGCTTTGACAAAATGTTTTGCGAAGTTATTACTATTAATCTTGCAGGCATGATCGCGTTGAATTTGCTGAGCTTACAAAGCGTTTCTCAGAAGCTTTTAAGGAAAAAATAACCAACCCGCTTCATTTTGACATCTGCTGGGGCTCTCCTTTCAAGTTGCGGCATGTGACAACTATTTTGAAAGTCCAAGTCCCTTCTGTACAAAGTAAGCTGATGCACTTGTTGGATGTGGGTGATGGGTTATAGACTCTAACAAGGCAATAGAATTGATGTACAGAGGCTGGGTGCTACCCGACAACAAAGGTAGGGAACCAAATGTGAGAAAGCCTGAATGGCTTGAAGGCATCTCAAAAACATCAAAATGACATTGCAGAAAACAAACGCTAGATGCAAGGTGATGGTCCTGAAAAGATAAGAGCTCTCGTGTTCTTTTATTTATCTCAGAGTGACTCTAGGCAGCATACAATTAAAAGCATAAAACATAAAAGATACAATGCCTCAGTATAAGGAGCCAGGTAAAACAAGGATAAAATTTAGTTAAAAATCAAAAGGGGGACAGGGGCTACAAGGCACTAACCACCCCCAGGGTTGCATGCTCCTCTGTGAGTCCCATATGAGGTGGCAGAGCCAGGTCTCCTGATTCTTTGAAAGTTTAGGACAGGGGTAGGCAACCTCGGCTCTTTTATGACTCGTGGACTTCAACGCCCAGAATTCCTGAGTCAGCATGGCTCAGTTGGGAAACTCTCTTTCCCCTCAGCATGGCTGGCTCAGGAATTCTGGGAGCTGAAGTCCACGAGTCATAAAAGAGCCGAGGTTGCCTACCCCCGTCATAGGGCAACCATTTTTGAATCAAGGTACTTCAAGGTATTTAAAGAATGTGTAGAAACTCTGGGACTCATGACTCTCATAAAATTGAAATTTTTAGGAGAATGGGGGCCCGCCTCATCTCTGGGGGGGGGAGGATATTCCAGAGGGCAGGGACAACAGTAGAGAAGGCTCTCTTCCTGGACCCTGACAGTTGAAATATTTAATGATGGGCTCCATAACATTCCTTCTCTTCCTGACTGGGTGGGATGGTCTGATGTGATGGGAATAAGATGGTTGCTCAGGTGTGGAAAAGTCATGTTCTAGATATTGATTTTGTTCTACTATATCAAAAATAGTTTTCTGTTTCATAAAAAGGAAAAAAAGGAAGGGAAAAAAATTGGCAATGAGGCAGAGTGTTGGGCCTACAGAAAAGTGGCTTGAGTGTCACTTGTGACCTTGAGGTCACAGACCACCCACTTCAGCGATCTATCTTCAATAAGAAGAGACTTACTCGTGGTCCTTTAGTTTAAGGTCTTAAGGGCTGACTGCAAGTTCAGACTTTTGGCAAAAAGATTTGTATGAATTCTTGAAAAGGCAGAGAAGAACATGAAGAAAGCCAATGAAGAGAATAGCTCGTCTCACCCAGGATTAATTAATACAATTTAGTCACCGCCCAAATCCAGACTGGCTCCAGGTGGTTTACAATAAAAGCAAACAAGATAAAAGGTACAATCTCAGCAGAATTATAAAAAGAGAAGTAATAAAGAACAAGATGATGAATCTGGCAATGTTTTGTCATTCCATTGATTGAAGCTGTTATCTCTGAGTGATGAGAAATGTTGGCTTTATTTCAGATTTTAAAGAGTCATGGCACCAAAAAATTGGAGAATCCTTTTCTTATTGGCATTTGTTGTGGTCTACTGGGTTTTAAAAAAATCTTTGTTGACATAATACTTTTTTTGAATGTACACTGGCACAAAACAAATGTAAGCATGAAATAAATGAAAGCACCAAAAAGCCACATGCTGTAGTTTAAGTCAATAATAAACAATTGCTGATCTTAGGCGATTTTTCCTAACATTTTTACCAAACATTTATCAAAGATCAGTCAAATGTTTGCCTTTTTTCAATTGATAAGAAATTGGTACTTTCTATTTTGATGTCACACCTCTCCTTTTAAAGTGCACGGAATATTTACCTTAGTCTAAGCCAGTGTTTTTAAAACTTGGCAATTTTAAGATGTGTGGACATTAATTCCCAGAATCCATGCTAGCTGAGAGAATTCTGGGAGTTGAAGTCCACTTATTTTAAAGTTGCCATGTTTGAAAAACACTGGCTTAGATGCATAGTATGGTCTTAATGATTTAGCTTTCCAGCTAAATCAAGCTTTAAATCTAAATCGAGTTTTCAACTACCTGCTCGGTCAACATTTGAGAGGGTAGAGGAGGGGTCCCCAACCCCCAGTTCATATACTGGTACTGGGCTGCAGCATGCCAGAAACCTGGCCGTTCAAACAAGCAAAGCCCCATCCATGGGATGCAGGCAGCATGCGAAACCACAACCCCTCTGTCCATGGAAAAAATCTCTTTCCATGAAACCAGTCCCTGGTGGCCAAAAGGTTGTGGACACCGGGGTAGACAATAGATCCTTAATTCACCACTAGAAAAAAAAAAGTAGCTCCTAAAACGTCAGGGAATGATAACTTCTGAGATGACTAATTATGCTTTGATTTATCTTTTGCACTTTTCTGCATTGCAGCATTAGAGACTGAAAGGATTTTGGAACACCAGAGACTTGAAAAGGCTGAACTCCAACACAAGTTTGCACGGAATGGACAGACTGAACTAAAAAGCAAGATCTTTTTGGAGAGAAGACCACTGCCCCCTTGTGGTTTTCACTAGAACTTGTTTTCCTCTGTATATTCCATTGTGTATATTTCTCTGAGCAACTGTGGTCAGCCTCTGATTGAATCAACGTAGTAGTGAATGTAAGCAGGCTAGCAAAATGATTTCCTTCAACTGTAATATGATTACATGTATCTATTAACATCATGTTAATTATTAAAATTAATAGGAAGAAAACAGGCCATTAATTCCTATGGGTTCTCTTATCAAAGGAAGACATGAGAAGTTGGTTTCTGGTCCTGTTCATCCTTAATTCTTGAGTTCCCATGCTTCTTCTGCCACATCCAAGAAGGAGAGGAAAAGCTTTAATTGGATTTCAATTAAACTTTGTTTAGCAATATTCCCTGAATTCTAAAAATGTAGTTTAACTATGATTTGTGAAAACAAACTGAGAGCATAGACCGTGACTTGAAATTGGCTCATTTCGTCAAACCAGGATGAATAGCAATCTTTTATCCAGAATCAGGCAACAAGTGAATGTAATCAGGATATTTAATTATGTTTGTTGAATAAATTATGGCAGCCTCATTCCAAATGTTAAGCCATGATGGGTAAGCCCACACATTTATTTATTGTGATGTTTCTCAATCTTGGCCACTTGAAAGTGGGTGGACTTCAACTCCCAGAATTCCTCAGCCAGCATGGCTGGCTGGAGAAGTCTGGGAATTGAGGTCCGTACATCTGCAAATAGCCAAGAATGAAAAACATTGATTTATTGTATTGATTGTCCATACAACACAATGTTGTTGTGTTTACAGTACGACAAATATTTTAAATAAAACATCCATCATAGGAACAAACTAAAAAATTCTAAAACTATGAAAGTTATAAAATCACTCCTACTGGATGTCCTATCATTCACCACAGATCTCTTGGAATAACTCGATTTTTAAGTATTTTACAACACGAGAACATATTCTGCTTCTACAAAATCAGATGATTTGCATTATGGCTCAGTATCCTATAAGAACAAAAAAAAAAGTTCTAATTTAAATTGATTAAAGCAGAAGCAAAAAGCTTTGGGATTCTGCTTCTGGCCAAAATGAAACAAATGAGATTGGGGAATGTAAAAATGCAAAGCTCTCCTAATTGAATATATGTACTGAATATATTTTAAAACAATACTATATTCTCTTGTTAATTAAAGAGCATTTGTTTTTGAAACAAGTATGTTCTTCTCTCTTATTGCTAGAAACACACACACACACACACAAACATATACACATACACAAATCTATAAGAATAAACTATATAAATCCAATTTGACTGTTTGCTTGGTTGATAAGGTATTCCTCAGCTGTGAATGTACACATTTCTGAAAATGAAGATAGGACTGATGGAAATTTATTTATACTACAGCAGAGCTCTGAAGATGACATATTCTAATTATAACAAAGAGTCTTTTGATATTTAAAGACCTAACAAATTTATTGTTGCACTCATGCTGATCGGAGCCTCCAAGCTTTGAGCAATAAATCTATTTGCCTTGATGTCAAAATGCTTTGTGTTACAGTATTTTTCTTTCAAGAGGCGCTAGATGTTCCTTCTGGATATGGAAATTTGTTTCATTTGTAAGCAACAACGATAATAAAAAAACCTCAAATCATAATATAATCCCAGATCCTAAATCCTGCATTGCTGCTTGCAACTTACTGGGCCTAATTTCATGTATGAAATAATATATAAGGACCAGGTACTTGTCAGATTAAGACTTCCAATACCATTTCTATTAAGATCAGCTTGATTTGCTTATAGTGCACAAGATAGTTCTGCTCCTGGCATGGTGGCATTATCTGTATTAGGAATATCTGATCCAAGAAACTTGAATTAGCTCCACTTAGTTCTTTTGGACATCAACTAAATATTTTTTTTTGTACCATATTTTGGCCCCATAGCATTCATAACAGAAATGGTGAATAGCTAAACGTCAGTCCTTTGTCTGAAAATGTGTTTCCGTGCATAGGAAAAAAAAAGGTCAGACTGCAGCCAATTACCAGTGGTATTTCAAGTGCTATAAATCAGATAGCAAGCAGTGTAAAAAATGAGGGGGGATTGATTCCATGGCAATGTCTAAATTTTGTAGAATTCAGATACTTTGAAAACAAGTATGGAAGTAATTTGAACGGAACCCTTGAAAACAAGGGTAGAAGTTACTTGAAGTTGAAAAGAAGCAGATCCAATGGACTAAAACAGAACTATTACATGACTTATTTTAAAAAGTGACTTTTTATTTACACTGGGGAAATGTTTCAGCAGTTAGAAGTTTAGATATTTGATAATTCACCAGGTGTTTTTTTTGTAAAAGTATATAAATATATACACAAGCCTTTATATAAACATTGTAACATGTGATACAGTAAATATTTGCTATTTTCCCATACACGAATAAGTAAAGCTTAAATACTGATTTCAAGTATTTTCTATAGAAATCTCTACAATATTACAATTGTTGGAAAAAGATAGCTCTGTTATAAACACACTTGAAAAACCGCCAAATAAAAATATACTGTAAGAAAATCTGTCTGGATAAAATACTGTTTTATTCCCCTCCCCCAAAATAGCTTCCACGTTATATAAGTAACTGGAAAATAATCTGCGAGAAGCATGAATAAATGTTTAAAAAAATGTTTTTAACGTGTCAATTACTTTCAATGATTTGAAAAAGCTGCAAAAATGCAGCACAATTAAATATAAATGTATATAAATGATGCTTAAGTGCCCACGCCTATGTAAAGGAAAGAGCCCTGCTAATGGTACCTGATGCTTAATTGAGACTGGAACTGGAATAATATTTGCAAAAGCTGTTTATAGTCCACTTTCAAAGAATCTTGGGAATTGCAGTTTTGAAGAAAGTGTGTGCAAGCATTTGTCAATCACAATTCTTTTTCTCTTTCGTTGATCTACATCTACATCTCCCATGGAAATGTTAAACCAGCTTCAATCTGTAATGTAAACACACCCAAAGTATCCGAGGGCGTATTTTTAAATGCATACTTGGCACAATATTTTAGCTGTTTCTTTACTGTTCTTCTGCTTGAAGACGTTTTAGGACATACAAGATAACTTGATAGCAGAAAATGTATTGGTCCTGTAAAAAGAATGAATTATTGCATATTCTCACAGAAGACACATTTGGGCTGTGACAGAGAAAATTCTGCTTGACGGATTCCCACCCTTCCTTTACACAACATTTTTCACCCTCAGCAAAAGATGGATTGCATCTTTTGGATATATTTCATGGGAGGCTGCAAAATGTATGGGTAGCCAATATATAAAATCTCTTGGCTGCAATAGCGCAAGGCATTTCTCACTTCAAGTTTCCAATCTCACAAAGCTGTACACTCCCAGGAACGTTGTAAAAAAAACATCACAGGGAAGGAAGTATAAGAAAATTGCACAGCTGAAAGTTCCTTTCCACCACTTGGTTTTTATCTTTCACTTCAGAATTTCCATGTATTTCCTTCTGCAAGAAGCTGAATATTTATTTATTTATTTATTTATTTGTTTGTTTGTTTGTTTAGAAACTGCCCATTTTCCTTATTGAGCGACTCTGGGTAGTTTCTAAATATGATATATACATAATTATTTTGAAATGATTCAGAATATTTGAAAAAAAAAGTGCTTTGTAAAACGGGTTAAAGCAGCTACATTTTCTGTAATGCAGACATGGCTGCTTTGAAAAAATTGAAGCAGAATCAACTATGTTTTGCATAGCTCTATTTTCCAATTGTTCCTCTTGCTCCACTGTTACTTGTTTTACAACATAATATGAAGATATGTTTTCTGACCTCCTGTTTTTAAAAAGTCAGCATTTTATGGATCTCTGAACTGCAGTTTGGTTTTTTGTTGGCTTATCTCCTAATAGCCCTCATTATGTAAGCTTTTGGTCCATGATTTGTTTTATTCTTATTTTCCATGATTATAAAATCTATAAAACTATCCAGAGAATCTCAGCTACTAAGAAATACAGAAATCCAATAAAATAAAAGCACTTTCCATTTTCTCTTTTGCTTTCATTTCCCAGGAGTCTTGTTGGGGCACGTTAAAGAAAAACCTGGGAAGCAGGACTACGTGTTGCAATTCAGGATAAACATACCTCTGTTTGTACCATGCCATGCCTTTGCAAACGCATCAGTCGCACCACTTCGGAGATATCAAACTGTGAAGAAAAAAAAGACACCCCAATCTAAATTGCACATTGTGAAATTCTTATGGAATTTGTCCCTCCCAAAGTTTTGAATTGATGTTCAGGACCAAATGTGACTTCACAAAGAGGAGAGGAGACAGGGCAGGTGGATCTTAATTCTTTTCCACATATTTTTCCCCCCTCTTCTCCCAGAATCTTTCCCCTCAGCTTTTTCTTCTAATAAGCTTGCAAGAAAATACTGATAAATGAGGACAGTTGAGATATATTGGCAGGAGGACAGGAAACACATCTTCCTGAAAGGTCTCTGTGGTGAATGTCCAACACACCCTCTGTTTGCTTTGTTGTTTGCATCTGAAGAGATGCGAGACATCTTGGTTGCAACAGCTTTGTCTGCATTTGGTACCACCTTCTGACGGTTCATGATCAAGCTATGAATATTCATCTTTTAAAATCTGCATTCTGATTTTCCTATTACTCCAATGTTGGGACAAGGAATCTGACTCAGAAGAAAAGGAGCTTATATTAATAAAATCAGAAATTTCTGAAAAAAACTCTCATGGATTATTGTGTACGGAGATTCCTCAGTCATCCAGGTCATGGTTGTCTCCCAAAAGTGTTCTTTTTCAAAAGGCAACTAGACTATGCTTTTCCTTGAAGAGGTTTCATTTCTCATTCAAAAAGCTTCTTCCATTCTGAACTGAAGAAGCTTCTTGGATGAAAAGCGAAACGTCTTCAAGGAAAAACAAAGTCTAATTGCCTTTTGAAAAAGCACCTTTGGGACTGTCGTGGACCGTGCAGCCAATGGTGATATTAAAAACAGAATACAGAATACAATGAGCCAGATCTATATCAATAAACTAGTTTGATATCCATTATAAGAATAATTAAGATAAACTTCCTCAATTTAAAATTCTTCAGATGAGTTTGGGTGACCAGAATTCTCATCTAGCATGGCAGATGGCCACCTAGAATTTCGTGAATTGCAATCTCAGTTTGAAGGCTTGGAGGAAAATTCATTTAGGTTCACTTACCTCAAGGTCTTGGCTGATTAAGCCCAGGACAACATCAAGGCAAATGAGTGTCCCTGATCGCCCAATGCCTGCACTGCAGTGAGTGATGATGGGTCCTGATTTGTGGATGTGCCTCATGTAGGAGATGAAAGTTATCAAATCATCTGGTTGAGATGGTGTGTCGTGATCTGGCCAAGCAGTAAAGTTTAAATGGGAAATATGCCGGAGTTCACCTGTCTGTAGATTTGAAATTCAAAGAATAACAAATACAGAGAAATTATGAGCGTCATATATCCTGAAAAGAATAACCCTCACAACAATGACTAACAGTCCAATCTAACTTTAAAAAACAACCACCACCAATCCATAGCTGTGTTCTCTTTCCTTTACAGTTTTTCAATTTAGCATCTTCTAGATGTATTGAGATTCAGCTCCCCCAATTTTCAGTTAGCTTCAGCCTAGAATGGCTTCAGACTATTTCTATACTGAACCATGAGAAAATTAATATGGGGGATATTAGCCAGAGTTCCAATAATGGGGAAAAAATACCATGAGTACAGCAGAAAATTTAGGGTCTGGCAGTTATTAGAGATTAATGGCAGGTTTAGCAATGGCATCTTCTCAAGAGACAGACTGGAAGACTACAAACATTGTAATACAGATAGTTCTCAACTTATGAGCGGAATTTCCATTGGACATCATTGTGGTCTTAAGTTAGATCCAATTTCACAACATTTTTATGGTGGACATTAAGCGAATCATGCAGTGAATCCAAATTTCTCAATGGGTGTTTTTTTGCCAGAAATCAGCAAAATGTCACATAATTGCAGCACCCGCAACTCATAAATGCAAGGCAGTTGCCAAGCACCCAAATTCTGATCACGTGACCTTGGGGGTGGTGCAATGGTCATAACTATGAGTACAGGTCATAAGTCACTTTTTCTGAGGCTGCTGTAATTTTGAACCATCTTCTAATGAACAGTTGTAAGTTGAAGATTACCTATACAGAGATGTTCAAAATACAATCAAAGTAAAAACATGGCTAAACTCTCAGAAGTCTGCTAAAGCTTGCATTTACCTTTTGATTTTCAAATAAGACTTTGGCTCATCATAATTATTTAGTATTTTGTTCTTTAAATATTAAACACTTCTACAAATAGTTCTTGACTTAACAACAGTTCATTTATTGAATGTTCAGAGTTACAAAGGCACTGAAAAAAAGTGACTTATGACCATTTTTCACACTTATGACCATTGCAGCATCCCCATGGTCACATGATCAAAATTCAGATGCTTGGCAACTGGTTCATATTTATGACGGTTGCAATGTCCTGGGGTCAT